ATTTGCAAAAAAAAAGACTCGATGTCTATATTCGATGTCGGCCTATCTATGTCACCCTGTCTAATCTTTGGGGGTGGTTAGGGGGTGGTCTATGGGTGAACTCCTACATCACTGCCTGTGGTATATCACTCCATACTTACACAGCTTTGAAGAAGAGAAAAGGTGTGTGGGGGTTGGTGGTGTGGTCAAGGCATACAGGTCCGTTAGTGGTACTTCATTCGAAATGTCTGCTTAAAATTAAGTACCTTCGCAGACAGATTTAAATGTTTGGCATTAATTGTGTATTTTTAACCAGTAAATTTATGATTGGTTCCACCCTACCATTTCAGGACCATAGTTTCAGTTGTATTGCATTTGGAACTCTCTCCAGACTCTCTTCCTCCATATATTTGTCTGTTGGACTGTTTGTGCTGTTTAAATCTCACCCTGAAACACATCTGTTCAAGATGGCATACTCTATTTAATGTCCTTATTTGTTTTTAATTTATTTTATCAATTTATTCTAAAATGCCAGCTAATAAGCTAGTTCATGTGTTCTGCTCAGTCACCCTAACGTTTTAAAGTGAACAGATATAGGGGCTCTTCTAGCTGGTTGTTTTCCAGTAATCAAAATCACTGCATCCACAAGACGTAACAACTAATTATGATCCTTTATCTCTGTCTGATGGTGTGATGTCACTATGGACTCCTCTCTGACAGACTCTCATAGACTGTAAAGCACTCTATGCTCCTTCCCTAGTCAATTCACTAAATAGCAAATGTTAAATATTGGTACAAGTTTTACCAATTGCCCATAGAAAATAAATGGCAGAATGTTTCGAAAATAAAAAAAATGTCACAATGGACAAGTGGGAATGTTGGGGTGTTGAGATTGCAGGACTGCACTATTTTACATGTAGTGTGACAGCATAAAGACAGGGTTCCCCTCGAAAAGATCAGGCTGAACTCCAAAGTTCGTAATATTTTATTTTGCACACAAGCACACAAAAAGTGAAAGAAAAATACTGAGTAAAAACATAAAATAAACAGGTTGCAGTGTAACTGATATGGCAAGGACAAAACAGACTATTTCTAATCCCTTACGCAGTCCTATGTGGATGTTTCTGGCTAAACGTCAGCCAGCTTGTTCCAAATGCCGCAAGGCCACATAGACACATCCTACGTTCTCCCCTGAGGATCAGGACAGAACAAGAATAAAGTAAGTATTTCTTCTATGTACATTTTAATATCACCCAGGCTTCAATCCCCCAGTCATTGTCCCCTTTTTATGTCCCAGTGTCCTTTCACAGTCCTGGTGATGGGACAGACTTACTGACCCCATCACAGGACACCTTTCTTACAGACCCCCTCATACACTACAGAGCAGTGTATAACAGTGTATTCCACAATGCAGTTGTGTCTTATGAAAGAAGAAGTAAGAGATATGAGAACAGACAACAATAGACACCAATTTTATATACAAATGTAAATATCGCAAATTTGAACCTTTCTTCTGAAGTACAATTAGCATGTCTGTAAAGTTTAGCCATGACAGCAAACCCTTTAATCCCACCATCCAAATAATTGCTAATATTTTTCAAAAAGCATTTGATTATTGTGCTTTCTTGTAGTTTGTTGTTGTCATGTTTTGGTTTAAATGACTATGCTGAGTTTTTGAACATTTCTTTTTTAAATAATAGCTGACTCTTCAGGCTTCTATTGGTCATGTGTCTTCAGACTTTAGACGCTAATACAAAGAAGCTGAAATGGGAAATAACCTTTTTCTAAATCTTGAGTAACACAGTCATTTAGTAAATATATCTTTACCTCTTTTGTCTCTCAAGTTCCCCAAAACATGAGGGGTGTTCAGGTCAGTCCCTCTAATTAGACACAAATATCTCCAACCAAAAGAAATATAGGCTCATTAACCGATGCAGAAAGATGATATTTTTGTGTGCAAGTGAGCTTATAGGGTACGTAGGCTTAGCAGGGGCTTTTCCCTACCAACTGGCCACTTAATTAAGTACACCTCCTTGTAGCTACACTCCATGTCAGCCAATTTTTACCTTGTTCAGCAATGGCCAAGACCCCAACAGGACCACCACAGAGCAGATATTATTTGGGTGGTGGATCATTCCCAGCACTGCAGTGACATTCATATGGAGGTGGTATGTTAGTGTGTGCTCAACAGCAACAGATGAGCAACTGTCTCTGACTTTATATCTGCAGGTGGACCAACAAGGCAGGTGTGTCTACTAGAGGTGGACAGTGAGTGGACACAGTGTCTAAAAACTGGACCTGATAAAATGAACAATGAGTGTACATATGGGATGTGTAGTACTTAATGAAGTGGCTAGTCAGTGTAAAACACAGAAAGAACCAGTGAGAGTGATGTGCATGAGTTATTTGCACCACAAGATGGAGACACTACTACACAAAACAGCTTCACAAATCCAAACCAATGACCAAGCTGGCAGCAGCAGCAGTAATGCACTCCCAGACTTTAAGGAAGAAACACTGAGATGAATCCAGCCTCCCCTAGGGTGAAGCAGACTGTGGAATTATAGGCAGATTAACTCACTCTTTATCTCATTTAAAAGTGGCAGTTGATTAAAGAGAGACAGTCTCTACCTTCTCTTTGAATATACCATTTACTTACAATGTTGACACACAAGTAAATAATAAATTAGCTCCTTAAAATTCCAGGCTTATTACATATTAAGGCTTATTATTCAGTCACTACAGGGACTTCAATGCATATTAGATGAGCTTTTCTTAGGTTATAGAAGTGTGTAATAAAACTCGGGGCCTGTTGGCAGACTCTGGCCTTTTAAGGAGTTAACACAAAGTAAGATAGGGTTGCCACCTATTTAGGATTTCCCTGGAATGAGTTTAATCGATTCAGATTATCCACAACACAGGGACAACTGGGACAGCACTTCTTCAGTGTGATGACTGAGAAGGACTGGGTTTCCTGAAAGCATTTTAGCACAAAGATGATTCTTACGCCGAACAGTTTTTACCAGTTAAGATGATCTTAACACCAAGATGCTTTTTGGAAATTGGGCCAAGATTAGATCCTGTGGCTAAATTGACATCCTTCCACCTTAGGCTGCATCGTGAGCTACCTGCCTGATGCATGTAGTATAAAATCAAACCACTGATTGGGTGTCAAGAAACTCTACAGGGCTGTGGTGGCAACCCTAAAGTCAGACCAGTATTCAGTGCATAAAATAGAGCAACTGCCTGTTCCCACAACAACTGACTAGCTGCCATTTGTTTATCTTGTTTGATTCATTTTGACCTCCCTTTTGGTTCAGGTAGAATAAGAAATCAGATGTGTCCCTCATGTTTGTTATATTTTGTTTTTTTAAAGATCTGGCATAAATATGACCTCCCACAGGTTTCTGCAGGGCCTAGAACTACATCCAATTTTGAATCACAACAATCTTTTACAACTGCACGCAATGAAACAGTTCAATGACATTATATCCCTGGGTCTTATTGTGAATTATGAATGAACAGTTTTAATTTTAATAACAAATATTTCCATGTCCAGGTATTGTGGAAAACAATGATGCAGGGTAAAGCGCTTTAATTCCCACATTATTCAAGTGAGCATAGAGAAATAAAATATTCCCAGTAAGGTCATGTGTTCGGTTCTTCATTAGGTTTTGCCAGAAGGATACAGCAGAAGCTTTAGATAGCACTATGTTATTACAAATATATCATTATATGGTGTATTAGAGTTTAGAAACAATTTCATTGTTTCCATTTCCACCAATTGCCATTTACATTTAAAACATATGTCAGATGCACTGATCCAGAGCGTTTTACAATTTGATCACTTTACAGTGGTAGGCAAAGGTAGTGTTAGGACTCTTGCCCAAGGGATCTTATTGCTATAGCAAAGGGTGCTTGCCTGGATAGGACTGAGCCCCAGTCTGCAGCATGGAGGGCAGAGATGTTACCCACTATACTATACCAATTACTCTTACTCTATGTAGGCCTGGGTGATAGAGCGATATAATCAGATATCGTCAATAGTGTACAAGTAACCCAATGGCGATGTGTAAAAGGTAAAAGAACTGAGAGAGAATTAGAGAGGACTAATGTGAGAGAGAGAGAGAGAGAGAGAGAGAGAGAGAGAGAGAGAGAGTGTGTTATTTCTCTCTGCTACACACTGTAATCTGTCATACATTGTATGAACTAGATTAGTAGTTGTAATCTCACATAGATTACTTTTGCATATTTGTAACCAGAAATCGGCACTGTGAGTGATGGATAGATCTTCTTCCCATTGTATAATGGCCAAAGTTATTTTTGCGTCTTTTTAGATAGTATTTTGTACAGTTTTAACAGGAGTTCGTTTCAAGAGGCAATCTGAGATTGCAAAGGGTAGATCTAATGTATTTTGTGCTAATTATTTTTAGTTATCAGCCAGGCCTAGTTCTATGTCCCATCAGATTAATACGACTTTGAGAGAGCTCCCCTTTTGCTTAAGGTCTAAGAAAATCCACAGGTTTTTCTGTCCATCCTTCCACTGTAAGGAGACAACACAATACTATTGGACTGAAAGAATGTGTAGCTGTCAAGAAGCTGTTACTGAGAAAAAAAAAATAAAGGTTATAGAGACAAAGAGCAGACATACTAAATACTGAAATTTTTTTATTACATTTAGTTGTTGAGACGTCTGTGATAATTGCTTGCTAAATGTTTTCTACTTTTTCTCCTAACACAAAAATAAATAACTTGTACTTTGTGGCTGTTTTCACCAGAAGGGTGGTCTCTTCTTTTGCATTACATATTTACAGCATATACTATCTGTAAGTCAGAGATCTGTGTGAGGAATAATAATTACTGAGCACATGAAACATTTCAGCAATATGAGAATTAGCAATATATAATCTAAGATAGACATCAAACAGCTTTCAAGAAACAATAAAATAAGGTTACTGTTTGGCAGTGGACAGTTTGTATGCAATATGTTCTGAACAGCTTTTTAAAGAGAAGACAAAGAATTTCACTTCAATATTCTTTATTCAATTTATAGATGTAATTCCATTTGTAGTTTGGAGATACCATTAGTTTCTATTTACAATCATTTCTGAAAATTTCAGCGCTGTACATATTTGAACCCTGATCAGAATAAGCTGTAGTCTGATGAGCTAGTGCTGTGTTAAAAAGTATGAGTAAATAAAAAAAAAATTAACATTTGAAAAAAATGAATAGAAGAAAACACAATACAATAATTTTTATTGTTAGGGGATTTTGCTGGTAAAGTACAAGACATCAGCGGATGACATTTCCCACTGCTAATAAACTGTTTAGACAATCATACACTAGACACCGATACAGCTATATCAATAATCTATTGTCATATCCTCTATATGATTCATTTTAAATATACTCTACACAAATATAACCTTGAGTCTGAATTCCCATTTGGACAAAATATCAAAAGAAAACGGGGGAAACAAATCAAACAAACAAAGATAAAATAGCACATGCTTTAGTGCTGTGCAAATGTATCATTTCATCAGACAGGTAAGAGAGAACAAAACTTCATATCCTATATGTCTTCTGGCTTGAAGCACAAGCAGTGATTTCTATCACCACTAAATTAAAATAGTTCACTCTGCTGTCAAATGAACAAAACCTGGCTTTTTTTTTCTAAACACTGTCACAATTCTGTCTTCATATATATGTTATGAGGCTCCCACACTAGACCATTTGCATTACCATGTTGTAGCTGAAGAAACTGACCAAAAAAAAGAGTAACTGCCCAGCTAATGTTAGTGGATTAAGTCACACTTTTGTTAAATAGCTCACTGTCCAATATTCCCTTAGTGCCCACAGTATTCTCCTTCTATGAGAAAATTCCGTTATTCACCCCTGACTGACGCATTGGTAACAAATTTAATTCTTTAGCTTTGTGAAGTTTCAGACGGAAAAGCTAGTTAGCTAAATCTTTAGAAGCTGTTTGGTCTTGGCTTTCAAACCAATTATCAATATGTTATGATGGGCATGCTCTACCAATGTAATGATAACAGGATTTAATGTAATTCAAGGCTCCATGATTCTGCATTCTCACGATATTCTAAACAACATTTGAATGAAGAAAAAAATGACAAAAGTTATGTTGTTACACAACTTAATGTCACTAGAGCTGGGACGCAAGTGCAGTGCTGCAGTGAGTGGCTGACTGGAGCTGATCGTTACAATGTCACACTCTTAGCAAGCACCGATCTGACTATCTGAGGGACAGAAACAACTTGAGCTACAATAACAAATGTCAGTGAATAACTTTAATTTAGGGACAACCATTTTATTTCGATCAGTTAATGCTATTTAAAGAAACAATCCTGCCCCTTGCACCTTTAAAAAAATAAAGGAAATTTATCTTAAAACTCCTCTATGAGGAGGAATCAAAACTATCTAGTAAGGGTGAACAAAACACTGGTTGGTCAATCAAATAACCCGCTGACAGAAAATGTTACCATGCAACAGCAACCCTTCAGCCTTCCTGGTTAGTGACAGAATCAAGTCTGCATTTCCATCTGACTTGCAACTACTAGATTTGCATCTGTGAGCCAAGGATTGCACTGTCAGCATTTGGAACTATATCCATAAAATGTGCACTTCAAAAGACGAACAGAGTTCATTACAAAGAGAGAAAACAAAAAAAAAATAGCCATTAACATCGATCAGGCACATTAATGTTTGGTCTGCTGTGCTGCAAACAATTGACTACAGATGTTAATTCACTCAGTGGTTAAATGCTTGCTTCTGTGGTCTGACATACTGAGGAGAAACAGGACTACAGCAATGCAGAGGTTAATTCACTACTGTGTGAACTGCTGCTATTAGTGGCAAGTGCCTTTGCCTTCCCAATGGAGACACAAAGGAGGAAGTGAATCGGAAATGCCAAGCCCATGTCTGGTGCATCGGCTGAACTCAACAGTTTGTCAAACACTGTCATATTCCCCGGTCTTCTCTCCCTCTGTTTTGTCTAAGCAGGAGGTACAGAAGCATGGAGCTCTGCTCTGCTAAGCCTCCTGCTCTTTCATCTGAGTGGAATCTGAAACAAGAGTGTTTCCTCCATGTGCAAATCGACAGGGGAGTGTGCATGTGACTATGTGTGAAGAAAAGGACAAGTGAGAAAGCAGTATGAAAGTGAGACAGAGAGAGAGAGAGAGATTACAGTATATGACAGTATATGGATGTGTGAATAAGGGAGGGAGGGAGAGGGAGACAAAGAAACTGATGAAATGTTATAAAGAGGGATTCTGTTTCATCATCTGCTGCATTTTATACTAGGCTTTACAAATGGCAAAATGTGACCAAGACACTCTAGACTGCCCACATGTATGGACTAGTCTTCTGTTTGATGTCCTTGTTTGTTTGTTTTTCAGCAGCATAGGAAACTACAGAATGCACTGGATCATGGATAAAGGGACATCTTTACAGAATCACACAGCAGTTGCTCTCTCCAGTTTTCTCCCGATTTCTCTGGCCTAAAACAGAAAAAAGAGCTTTTTTCAGAATGCAGAGCAGTCATAAGTATTATCACTGCAGTCTAGGGCTGGCCTGCAGAGCCTATTACAGGCTTTGAATACTCATTGGTCAATTTCTTGCTCTGAAAACCTCCATTATAGGAGAATTACACCATAAATCAGCCGGGGAGATGTAAGCAAAGTCATTCAGAGTTTTCTTTGGGCACTTTTTTGCCTGCATGTTCCATTCTGCCATGAATAGAATAGTTCATTCAATTTAGATTTACAGGGACAATTCACATTATAACACATTGCTCTAAAGATGTCAGATTTTCAGCAGTAGTTGCTGGGCAGGTACAAAAACACAAAGAAACTCTACATAAAACTCTACATTACATAAAACACTAATGATTCATACAGTAATACGAGACAACCTATAAAATTAGGCTTAATGCTAGCTGTTAAGAAGATTTACATACCATGATGCATCCTTGATTTTATTTTATTTTTTGGACACAATTTTAATTTAGCTGAAAAAAGACAAACGTAGTGCATTCTCTTATATGTACAGGCAGCTCATTCCAAATGTAAGCTGCTCTTACTGAAAAGTTCACTGTCCAAAGGACATCTTCTTCATCTGTATCACAATATCTCCTAATCCAGTTGGCCTATTTTCGGTTGTTTTCTGCTTAAAAAAAGCAGAGCAAAACCATGCAGGACCTGATATACAAGACATCCATCTTCAATCTAATGTTTTAGGCCAAAATCTTCATTAAGCTCTTCAGACATCTGGTTCCCATCACCACCACTGTGAACAAGGCCGACCCAGTAAGTTTCTCTAGAATGGATAATCCAACCACACGTTAAACTACTCTGAATGACTTTGTTTAAAGCTTCAGAATTTAATTACGCAGAAATGCTGAAAATTGAATGGAATCTTCTATAAAAAACATGAGCTAATAAAAATGAACTAAAATGTGTGTTTATTTTACTGCAGTTCAAAATATATCCAGTAGGTGGCAATGTGTTAATTAGAATTGCATTTCAATTTACAAAACGTCATAATCAGATTTTTATATGGGCTCTGCATTTCCCCTACTGTTAAATAATGTTAAATTCACACACAGCCTCAGACTTTATAAAGTAGGATAATTTGGAGGAAGATTCTCAGCATAATTTGTAAAATTATTAAAATGTAATAGGCCTGCTCCATGGTTTTCCACAGGCACCCATAGGCTGAATTCCAGAGCAACTCCACTATAATGATGGACCTTTTTCATTTATAATGTAAAGCACATGGACATTGCTTTGGAACTCACTCGTTTACTTAAGTAGAACCCATGTAGCAATCTGAGTTTCTCCAGAAGGGAGCGCTATTAGCACACAAAATCAGTTTTGTGTGCATCATTTTAAGAACCAGAGGTGTGACAGTTTTAAAAATAAAGTTGAGTTATTCAGTATTATAGTATTTAATAAGTGATTTTCATGAAGGATTTTAGTTTCAGTAAATGTTAAAAAAGCATAGTAGCTTAAAACAGAATGTCTAAGCTGTAACGAACCTTGTTAAATACAATTGGAGAAAAACTGGAGATAAAATAATAAAACAGGCTAAAGGAATCAAAAATGGAGATGCACCAAAAATTGTTTTAAAACTGCATCTTCAACAAAATAGAATCATGAAGTGCCTAGAGATACGTACTACTAGTATTAACAGAGTATATCGGTCATATACACTGAAATCAGCTGGGGTTGTAAGGCAAATAGCCTGCCGAGCAGAACTGGGATCAGTCTCACTATACCTACATATTTGAGGTAATTCATCAAACTTGTTTCCATGGTATACCAACCTTCTATTGAAATTTTTGCACTGAATTTTTTAAGTGCTCCTACACAAGCATTTTGTTGCGCTCTGAGGCGGGGTGACATGGCATGAATTTATGATGCATATATCACTGTTCTAATTAAAGGCATTTGATGAAACTGATTTGCAGTTTAGGCTGCAGTCAATTTCTGTGGATTAAAAAAGCTTCCAAATACTAAATAGAGAAGCGAATAACATAATGAACGACCAATCGAATATTCATATAATTTAGGCTGGCACTACTGCAGTCATTCTATCAAACCTGATCATAACAATCTTCACTCGTAAGCATATAACATTGTTTATGTGATTCATTGTAGAATAAAGAGAACACGATAATGTACCCATAGTAAATTGCTACATATTGCTACTATATATGCTACTTTTTATTATTTAACATTATGCTGTTCTCTAACACAACAGTAACTGAGTGACCCATGAATAATGGGTTAGTTTACGGTATTCAGTGTATGAGACCGAGCCTAGAAAGCTTCAATTCCACCAGTGATGTATAAACTGACTGAAACTTCATGTATTATGAGACACAGTGATCAGGGAGCATGTGAAAGAGCAGACAGAGTAAGAACAGAGACAGTGCAAGAGAGAAAGGGAAAAATGGTTACCTTGGGAATTTGGCTCGGGCAGCGTCTCTCTAGCAACTAAATGCATCACTGTTGTTTTTCCAAGGGGCAGTTTTAAAGCTGCATAGAAAAGAAACACAAACAGAATGAATGAACAAGACTGAGTATTGCAAGGCTAAACATCAAGAGGCACATGACATTGAAGTATCAGGCTGACTCTTGAGTGGGATAAAGCTATAAAGGATAGCTGAGATGCAAAGGAAGAGCACATAAGCCCTGGATTGGCTTTATTGAAAGTTGTGCCCTGACTGGCTCAGTGGCTCTGGCACTCTTTCTCATGCCAAATTCCATTTTCTCCCTTGTGCATGCACTCTTGTTTTTTCCCTTTTTCTGGCTGTTGTCAGCCTAAATTATCACAAGCACATTTAGTTGGAAGAATCTGACTACATTACTGGTCACGCTCCTGTCCATGCAGCTCAGGTCTTGGAGATTTCCTTTGCCCATGGCAATTGCCCAACACATATTCATAAATGCTCTATAAAACTCCATAAAACAGACTAATGATACTCCAGTAATAACCCCAGTAATATCTGATCCAATAGTTTTGCTGGTCAGAACTATATGTTCAGATATTATCACTTGCATCAGACCTTGACTGTATGCTTGTTTATGGGGCAAAATAAAAGCTAATCAAAGTTAGGTCATGAGTTTTTTAGCAGTTTTATGGATAACAGCTATGATTTTAAAGCTACACTAAGTATGTTTTGGGGATTTGGTGGAAATTCCATGCACGGTGGTTTGTCAAGTTGCTATTTCGAAAACTCACAGAGAGAAGTGACAAAAAGACATTAAAGATGCATTGAGAAGAAGTGGAGAGAGAAAGCTGGACTTTTTGGCATAATTTTTCAGCATTTTTTCCAGAACCTTTAGCCTGTATTTGTTCATGCAATGGATGAAGTCTTGTGTTGCCCTTTTTCCATGATACAGCAGCCTGGCACCCTCACCTACACACATACACACACCCTCCCTAGCTGAGTATTTCTCTCTCTCACCCCTCCTCTACTGTTTTTGTTTCTTTTAGTAGTCCATAACCACTGTCTGAGGGATGGGCAAACAAAAACGGACATGCTTCACACTCCTGCCCAAAGCATTTCCTCTCCTCCCTGTCCCTGCTGAATGCAGGTCTCTCCAAACACTCAGAAAATGTACCAGCTCATATTGTAAACAAAATTTCCTGCAAACCTGATTTGAGTTTAATCCCCAACTCCAGCAAAGTCCTTTTGGAAAAAAAAACAAGTAATTGGAAAGGAACCTCTCTTTAGTTTACATAAACACATCTAACCTATTATGTATTTAAGAAAATTACTCCTAATCGCAGTCCTCAACTCAGTGAACCTTCAGACCAGCACAGTTTGGGGAACAGAGGAAGGGCCCTGAGCATGTTTGACGTTTGGTACATCCTGCAAAGAATAATGCTGCAGTGGTTTGAGAGCTCACCTCCTAGCGTGACGTTGCCGTGCAGAAAGCGGCCCTGGTAGATGAGCCGCAGGATGTTGGGACTGCTCACCTGCTCCTCCTCCCAGTCTAACAAACAGAGAAATAAACATCAGTGGTGGCACTTACAACTGGATTATTCATAACTCCTGGAACTCACAGTTACTGCCAGCAAAGACAAAAGCATGTTGTCATTATATAATATTTCTAAACCAAAGCTTATTCAAATAATCAGAAAACGTCTGTCAAAATTGTACATTGTAAATCAACTGATATCACACGTATGTTTGTCAGTAGATGAGTAGATGTGGGGAACCTCAGAGCTTTCTGGGCCTTTAGACAGGGCTTAAAGATTACTAGGATTACTGGGAAAAATAAATGTCTATAATTTTTATTACATTTTTATTCAGAACACTGCAAATGTAACACTGTGACTTGTTTCACCGTTAAGTCTTTAATAGAATCAAAAGAGTGAAATGTCCAGTGAAAAATGGGCCAATAAGAAACAGTGTCACATATTTAAACAAGCTCTGCTTTTTGTTTAGGACTTTAAGAGCTGATAAGAAGGCCAAAGGCATGACAGAGGAATCCACCAATCACGTTTTAATTTCTAATAGGCAGGACAAATTTCATGTAAAAACAAATGTCACTCTAGGCATTCTGGAATATTAAATGGTTCCCTACTCTCCATATTATGTACTGCATAGGTCCATCCAAATAATGCTTTAAATATATAAGGGAGTCGTGCAGCAGTGATACATGCAGGGGCAGATTTAGTGATTCTGGGGCTCGTGGCAAAAGATAGGAATGAGGCCCCTGGATGCACATTTTTAAGATAGTGATGTAACTGTCTAAGCTGAAAAAACTGTCTAAACTGCTGAACCTGTTTAGACTGAAAAAAAACAGTCAGAGTCAGCTTTGGGAGCTTTGGGAGTGTAGTGACATACTTTTTGCTTTTCCATGGGGCCTTTAGGTTATGGAGGCCCTAGGCAGGGGTCTACCACCCCTGTAGACATGGATTTATACTAGACATGTAATGCACTACTTGGGCGTAGAAACTGTTAATTCTTGACCTACATAGTGCACCTTTTGAGATTCATCCCTAGATACGTCACTGGATGAATACGAGCAGCAGTCTAATCAACGGGCTGTTAGATTGAGAAAACATTGGGCCTCATTCACCAATATCTTCCTAAGTTTTTTCTTAGATTTGTTTGTGAGAACAAGTTCTTGAGGTCCTAAGAAAAAGTCAGATCACAGATTTGATCACACCTTGAGTGTGTGCAGATTCTGTTCTCACCTAAGAACAAATCCCAAATACGAAAACACTGGTGAATGCCAGAATCTTTGTGAAAACTGGGTAAGTGGTTTTATGAGGCCCATTGACAGCAGCTCTACACCAGGTCTCTCTATTGAAAGAGTCACTGGCACTCCGCTACAAGGTAAAACATGCTAATATGTCTGTCAAAAGCTTCACGCAGAGCTTTAGACGCTTCAAATGTCTGTGTTTAATCTGTTTAACAGCCAAAAATATGTTCATGAGAATTTTAATTAGCTTAATGTTAACAAATCTCATAGAATTCCATAGGAACACTAGCAAAGGTTAGCACAGACGTGTCAGTGTTTTTTTCTTCATGCTTTGATCGAATTTTTACATTTACATTCAGAATTGAAGGCCTAGCTCTAATAGTCACAGTTAACCACTGACAATTTTAATATGCTGAAGCTATTGTGGTGTGTACAGTATTATTTTGCCATGTTTTGTCAAAACAAACAGAAAAAAGCAGTGCAGACTTAAACCAGTCAATATGGAACATGTACAAATCTCAAATGTAATTCATTATGTAACTATGTAATTATTTATGTAATTACATTTAAATCCTGACCATGACCTAAACTCAAAGAGTGGCCATGAAAAACATATATATTTTTGACTTTGTCGTGTGTCTGTGTCACCGTTAATGAACACCTTTTTCTGTTCCTCTACTCAGCCATTGCCTTACTTGCCTGCATCTTTCCCACTGTCACTTCCTAACCAAACCATCATCCACCCCTTCAATCCATTCACCCTGCCTACACCCTTCAACTCTCGCAGTCCTCTGTCATGTCTCTAAAGGCACTTTGACCAGACCGCCATAAAACAGAAGCACAGTCATGAGATTCTACTTAAAGTCATTTTGAGCCAAAGCTGAAGTACTGGCTTCTGCCTTTATGAATGGGATGAGCTAATTCAATACTAAAACACTAGCTGATGCTTTTGGCCAAAATGGAATAAAGGTTTTTACTCTGCTTGAGAATTCTCTACATTCCATTCTTTATCGTTCCATCCACATCCTTTTTCTGGGTAATGAAAAGATGATGATTTTAATAATAGAGCATTTAGAAGAACTCAAAGGAAGCCAGTATAAAGGTTTTGAGGACGTTGAGGAAGCAGATTAGATTAAAATCCAGTAAAATCTTTTATTGTGCTATCTTTTACAGTGAAATCTCTAGAACTGCTTTGTTAGCTGTCTGAGAGAGGAAGAAATGAAGAAAGAGAACGAGAAACTAAGCTGATGAAAGAGGAATCTGGATACCATCTGCTCTACCTATAACACAGATGACCAGATGACGAGGTGTGTATGTATATGTGTATTTCTCTCTCTCTCTCTCTCTCTCTCTCTCTTTCACTCACTCACACACACTCACTCACACACACACACACACACACACACACACACACACACACACACACACACACATATATATATGCACACTTATGTACACACACATACATACAGTAATGGCCGAAATTGTTCACACCCCTGAAATCTTTCCAGAAAATAAAGTATTTCTCCCAGAAAATTATTGCAATTACACATGTTTTGTTATACACGTTTATTTCCTTTGTGTGTATTGGAATAACACAAAAAAAAGCCAAAAATGATATAATTTCACGCAAAACTCCAAAAATGGGCCGGACAAAATTATTGGCACCCTCAACTTAATATTTGGTTGAACACCCTTTGGAAAAAATAACTGAAATCAATCGCTTCCTATAACCATCAACAAGCTTCTTACACCTCTCAACTGGAATTTTGGACCACCCTTCTTTTGCAAACTGCTCCAGGTCTCTCATATTTGAAGGGTGCCTTCTCCCAACAGCAATTTTAAGATCTCTCCACAGGTGTTCAATGGGATTTAGATCTGCACTCATTGCTGGCCACTTCAGAACTCTCCAGTGCTTTGTTTCCATCCATTTCTGGGTGCTTTTTGAAGTATGTTTGGGGTCATTGTCCTGCTGAAAGACCCATGACCTAGGACGCAAACCCAGCTTTCTGACATTGGGCCCTACATTCCAACCCAAAATCCTTTGGTAATCTTCAGATTTCATGATGCCTTGCACACAGTCAAGGCACCCAGTGCCAGAGGCAGCAAAACAACCCCAAAACATCTATGGTGGACCTCCACCATATTTGACTGTAGGTACTGTGTTCTTTCTTTGTAGGCCTCATTCTGTTTTCGGTAAACAGTAGAATGATGTACTTTACCAAAAAGCTCTATCTCTAAGCTCTATTTTCCCAGAAGGATTTTGGCTTACTCATGTACATTTTGGCAAACTGCAGTCAAGCTTTTTTATGTCTCTGTGTCAGCAGTGGGGTCCTCCTGGGTCTCCTGCCATAGCGTTTCATTTCATTCAAATGTCAGCGGATAGTTCGCGCTGATACTGATGCACACTGAGCCTGCAGGACAGCTTGAATTTCTTTGGAACTTGATTGGGGCTGCTTATCCACCATCCGGACTATCCTGCGTTGCAACCTTTCATCAATTTTTCTCTTCTGTCCACGTCCAGGGAGATTAGCTACAGTGCCATGGGTTGTAAACTTCTTGATTATGTTGCGCATCGTGGACAAAGGAACATCAAGATCTCTGGAGATGGACTTGTAACCTTGAGATTGTTGATATTTTTCCACAGTTTTATGCTTAGTGTGGCACACACAGACACACAATGCAAAGATTGAGTCAACTTCTCTCCTATTTATCTGGGTTCAGTGTGATTTTTATATTGCCCACACCTGTTACTTGCCACAGGTGAGTTTGAACGAGCATCACATGCTTGAAACAAAGTTATTTACCCACAATTTTGAAAAGGTGCCAATAATTTTGTCCAGCCCATTTTTGGAGTTTTGTGTGAAATTTTATAATTTTTGGCTTTTTTTCCCTGTTTTTTTGTGTTGTTCCAATACACACAAAGGAAATAAACGTGTATAACAAAACATGTGTAATTGCAATAATTTTCTGGGAAAAATACTTCATTTTCTGGAAATATTCCAGGGTGCCAACAATTTCAGCCATGACTGTATACATAGATATACACATATATACACACATTCTATTGTAAATCAGTTAGGTACATGTATAATAGCTTCAGCATAAATTTTTTTGTATATCATTTATTTTGTGTATCAAACAAAAAAAAAAAATCACACTGTTAGAATAGATTTTTTTTTGTTGTGTGATAGAGTTAAAAGCAAAATTTGTTGTCATTTCCAACCTGTCTAGTCTTCATTAGCTACAATAACACAGTTTAAACCTCGAGCAATGGTTTTGTTGATAAATTTTTCCATTTACAAGATCAGAGCTGGACCCATTTTTTATAATGGACAAAAAGGGTTGTTGTACGAATAATGCTAAGAGGTGGTGAAGATTAAGGAAGATTAATGGTTGCATTTTTGCATTTTTCACAAAAATTGCCTCTAATTTGTGAGAAATTAAGTAAAAAAAAAAAAAATAACAGCTCAAATATTTACTAGGAAGATGGCTAAATGTGCTCCAAAACACAAGCAAGAATGTCAACAGACATGCTGTTTGCTTTGCTGTCAAATTCAGATCATTATTTCCCATCTTGACTGATGCTACAATGCATCTTTCCCATTGTCACTTCCTGACCAAACGATCATCCACCCCTTCAATCCATTCACCCTGCCTACACCCTTGGACTCTTGCAGTCCTCAGCAAATCTAAACTTCAATCTAAATTTAAGTTAAATGATATTTTTGCCAATGTGCTATCAATGTGCTTGCCCTAACCTAGCAACAGCTGCTATAAAAGAACACACATGTGGGCGGAGCATGGATAGGTCACTTATGCACACCTGTGTATGTGTGTATTTTTTCACTCACCCATTGGCCAGTTGTCATACACATGCTTGGCGATGTCCGCAGCCGAGTCATTGGGAGAGAACAGAAACTCCTTTGTCTTTCCGCTCACCAAGATGAGCCTCAAGTTGATCTGAAACAAGCACACAAAAAGTACAGATCATTAAGACTTCTAACAGCCTATAGACCATTAGGGACCATCTTTCTTTTTTCCTCCAAATGTTTCCACAAACACTGATTCTCTACTGAGCTCTGCACGGACTAGTGGCACAGACAACCGCCAGCATATCTACAGAAATAAAGGTGTAATAATATTCTCTGCTACTGTGATTTGGGTTAACTGCTCTCTAACAGTCGATTAGTGTTAACTGAATTGACTTTGTGCTTAAAAGAGATTGTAAGCAGTCTGAAGCATAAAAACAATCTTAATATAAAAGACAACTCTCCTAATTTTCCTAATTATAAAGCCAGCTGACACAGTAAAGCACACATCATAACAGTCACTACTAAAATGAACGTTTGGACTGTGTACATTCTATATTCTACCTTATTCTGAACACCATTGGTAAACAAATTTAGAGTGATGATAAAGAATCCACACATGATTTGAATAGGCATTAAATAGGCATTAAATAGGCATTAGTCTGATTTACCAGCTGTAGTTTTAAAAAATAGTACATAGATAAATGTGAAATTAGAGTGCAGAGGAATGAAACATCAGGTTTTTATTGGCATGACTATTGGTTTAAAAGTGTAAGCGTACAATATAGTTGCTGATAGAGAGAGACTAAGCACACACACTCTCTCTGGGCAGTACATGTCCGATGCACGTGCATGTTATTATGTGACTGTGCCTCCATGTGCCTCACATCAGACATACACACACACACACACACACATACACAGACACTGCCGGCTGCTGTGATGTAACGCAGCTAACACCAGCGGATTGAAACAGAGATCCTCCAAAGCACTTTATCAAATCAGATTAGAGCCGGGGCCTACACACTCAACTACACACCCGCACAAATCAAAAAGCACAAAAACACACACACTCATGGGCACACACAAACACATAAACATCCACATACTTACCTCAGCCACAAAAATCAAACAGCACACACCCACACTTGGCTGCTCACCCAAAAGAACCAGACAGCTCATTCACACACAGACTCAGCAGTCTGACCCAAGAAGATGTATTGAGTATTAAGTTATACATACTCAAATAAAAAAAAACATATACTGTGCACTTTACAAATCCAGCAACTGTGTTAAACCACAGTTAGGCTCAAAGCAATATACATTATATTATAAACATTAGATCTGTGCGATATGCAGCAATGACTGAGAAGTAAACCAATGATGAAGCTTTAATGGCAAAAATTGCAGCTTTGGGAAGAAACACTGGTAGAGAATTAAAAAGGATTGCTTTCATTTTAATAGCACTAAATAATATGTACATACAGTGTTTTACTTACTTTGACTGTTAAAACAACACATTAATACAGCATTAGTAAGTATGGGGTACTGTTCAGGAAATACTTATACTACACTTTGTATATATATATATATCTACAAATTGGCTTGCACAATTATGAAATGGAAACAGGGTATTATGTATTATGTAATAATCACCAAACAGTCTCTGTACAAAGTCAGTATTTCATAATACCTCATTTGCTAGCAGCTCTTTTTGTAGCTAGCTAAAAGTCTTTCTGTTTAAGGAATTTTAGGAGTATTTGGTGAAATTCATTCTTCCATCTACCTCTGCAACATTTCCTGTGGACTGGCTGCCACACAAACCCAAAGCAAGGCAGATCCAACCCCTAGCTTAACAGTTGGCAAGTTGTTCTTCTCATCAAATGCTCCTCCCTTTTTTGTCCAAACATGCCTTCGGTGATTATGACCAAAGATTTGCATTTTTACTCCATCAGTCTACACAACTTGTTTCCAAAATGCCTCTGGCTTATCTGGTTTTGCATACATCAGACTTTTTTGATCAGGCCAGAGGTAAGGTTTCCTTCTGATTAATCTTTCATGCAGATCACATTTGTGCAGGCAACGGTGCACCACCTCTCCTCTTCTTTTTATTGTCTTCCCCTGCTTTGTAGGCCTCAGTTAGCATTTGATCCTCAGCCAGCTGTGTAGAGGAGCTCATGGCTGTTGAGTGTAAGAATAAGGTTTAATGAGAGAATTTATTTACACTCTGGAATTGTCATTAGCTGACAATTCCTAATAACAATTCGTAACCTGCTTGACTAGTCATAATAAGTAAATTAAGGGCTAATGAGCTCATTAAGTCCTGAGGCTTTACAAAAGCAAAGGTCCAAACTTCTGCATAGGCCACAATTATTCTTTTATAAATAAACGAAATATAAAGTAACTGTGCATTAACATTTGCAGAAAAAAATTATTCTTTTATAAACAGTTTGTTGCAGAGGTTTTGTTTACTTTGTTTGACTTGGCAAAACATGTCATTTGGACAGAGCCCAAACTTTTCTATACAACTTTTGCATTTCTTTCATTCTTTCAAACACATTTAGATATCTAAAGTATTAGCACACAAGTCACTTTTGAGTACATAATTTAAAGTGAGGATACGGTGAACCCACACCAGCAGGGGCTCACAAGTGTAGTCACAATTTTCAGGGTGAGAAATGAAACAGTTTATTACTAAAATGTGCAAAACAATAATGAGAAAATTTAATACTAAAATATATTGGGTTACTCAGCATTAAATTATTTAGTATTTGATTTTCATTAAATATTTTCATTAAATCAGTTAATGCTGAAAAGCTAGTATCAACACAGTATAGAACAGGTCTAAACTGCATCAGACTGTGTGTGTGTGTGTATTTGCTGGGGCTAAGGCTGGATATGTTTGATCATTTTTAACAACACATTATTGAGGTAATGTATGTAGATATGTAGATATCTTCCAAGCCTGGTGGAGTGAGCTGTGTTTTGAAATATAAATGAAATTAGTTCACTGTTACATATGAATGGCTTCATCTGTGCATTAGAAAGCTGACATATTAGCCTAGACACTCAGTTTTATGTGATGGGCTTTAAAAGGCTTTAGTATGGACTGGCAAACATGAGCCAGGAACACAGGAAAGGTTAGAAAAGACTTCACTTCCTCCCATTAGCTTTCACATCCGATTTGCTTCAGCTGAAGCCCTGCTGCTTGCCTGGATCAATAATATTCCACTTTGCAGTGGCACTGGGTAATGTAATGTTGTGAGGAGCCTCAATCGAAATGTGTTTTTTGATTAGCTTATGCTCACACACACACAGACACATACAAAGCTTCACACAGGTGAAATTCCCTCACAGGATTCTCTTCACCAAGACTTGCTTCCTTGCCAGCTAACAAAAAAGACATCAGGATGGAGTAGAACAGAACATCTTCCAGTTGCCATAGTGATAGTCCAGCAGCAGTTTCTGCAAGTCCTGACCTGACATCACCTCATACCACCTGCAGATAGGGCACTTTCTTCATGTTCCACTCAGTTTCTGTATCTCTGTATCTTGTACTTTTTCCTGCCAAAGGCAGACATCAGTCCGGTCCTTTCCTGAGAATACCAACGACTATCCAGGAGAAGCACAGGGAATCGATTCTATGACTTCACAATGTAAACAAAGCAAACGACTAGTGGGAGGGAGCGAGAACACACAGGGGGTCCATATTGTAGTCAGCATTTTCAACACGCGGTGCAAAGGGTGACGTGATGCGGAAATGAGGCGAGGGCTGAGAAGATGCTTCTTCAGCAGCCAAGACTGCTGCTACAAAATATACAGCACTGCTTCATTTACTGCTGCTGATCTAGGATGGAGTCAATGCCAGTAGCACAGATCTTGGTCTCTGTGGTTATAAAACATACACTGATCCAGAAACAGCCATCTCAGCTCAGAAGAAAATAAAACATGACATAATCAAGCCTCAGAAGACCCTTACAGACCAGCAGGCTAATTCGTCTATAGGGGTTCCCTCCCAGCAGATCCCGAACTCCCACTCTAAACTGAAAACAAAGTGAAAACAAAGGGGATCTCTAGTGATGTATTGGAAAAACTGGCTCAAGGTACATTGGGAGGTACAGTCATCATTAACTTTGGGACTTTAAGACACACAAGTCATGTAGGTCAACACTGTACAGTTAGACAGCCCAAGGTTGCCAAAGAGCTTGTCAGTAATAAATTATGTAATTAAAGCAAAGAGGAAAAAAACTGAAAATGCGACTTGAACATCACGTAAACATTCAGGAACGATCGCATCAGCAAGGCACTTCAGTATTGGGTTGATTATGATGCAGGTAGTGCTGATGATAAGGATGCAAGAGACAATAATGCATTGGGGTCTTGTTTGTGTAAAGACCTGCAGGGAATACTGAGACTACAGTTAGACACTCAACAAGAGAAAATAGCACAGTGGTTGCTTCCAGCATAGAGAGAGAGAGAGAGAGAGAGAGAGAGACAGAGAGAGAGTTGCCTCTAATGAGGGAGTCGAGCCAAATGAAAAGCAGCCACAACAAATGCTGACCGAGGTGGACATGGCTGGTTGACCGGCTTTGCCCATCTCAGGACAAAGCTGCCAGATTGTTCTGGGAATGACATTTATGCAATAGGCAAAACACACTCTCACACACACACATGAGCAAAGCCCTTATGCAACTGTGCATCAATGAAAGCAATATCAGAAACTCTGCCCCAGGGAAGGATTTCTTTAAATAAGTCCGGTGTCTCTTTTGGAGATAGAGGAAATTAGTGAGCTCTACACAGTAATCTGCTGCTTTTGCATAAGCTGGTTAGAGAACAATGACGTGGCGTTCCCCAACAAAACAGCTCACCTGCATTATTACCAGGTTACAGACAAAGCCATGGAGCTTATGACCACACAAGTCTGCCATGAGTTTAATATTCAAATGAAAGGTGCTTTTGGATTCAACATGATGCCTGTGGTTTATTATACAGCTGACCTGACCGCCCTCATCTTCCTGCCCAGTGCCCGGCGATCACTATTCTTTACCAGACTTTTTGAACAGTAATATAGACACTGTCATTCTCCGCTCAGCAATTTCATTATATTTTATGTGTTTCTACTCAGTGGTGAATTCAGATTGTATAGGGAAC